TGTAAAATTAAAAAGGATAAGTACATTTTGGTGCTTATTTCACCTTTCTAGACACAACCGTTTTCAAGATATAAAATTTTGAATTCTGTAGTAACATGTAAAAATAGAGTTTCAAGTATTTCATAAATGTTAATTTTTCTTCAAGCACCAATATTTTTTTTGCTTCAAATAATAAGTAGGTAGGTAAAGTTCGTTTCACCAGGGTTCATACTTGACCTTGAAACTTGAAAAAAAAAGGTTGTCGTAGATTAATTTATATGACAAATTCAATTTTTTTGACAAATTGAAATGAATGACTTCTGGTTTGAGAACCGACGAACGTTTTTGACGTCATTGATTTGTTTCAGTCAATTTTTATTTGTTAAACAAGGAAGGCAAATGCTGATGGCAAGTACAAACCCTGGTGAAACAAACTTTATATAATTTCACTTTATTGAGCTGCATATATTCGTATCCAAGGTCAAGTGGGAAATATGGCAACAGCGAATTGGATTTCCCGTTGCTTATCCAGTTTTGTTTGAGACTCAAGTTCTCAATTTTATTTCTGTAAATACTATTGTTTTGTGAGTGCTGTTTTAATTGTTATATAATAATCTTATCACCCCAATTATTCTTAGTAATCCAGAATTGTATTAAAAACGATTAGAACTATATCAATAAGCGACCTTATATGTTTCAAAAGTGGTGCATTAGGATGTAAAACGATCTAAAGAATCCGAAAAACAAAAAATATATACAGGCTGTGTCATTTAAAAATCGAAAGTTGCGGTCATTTCCGGTGAAACCGGAAATCAGTAAAACTTGTCATAAATGCATAAAAATAGCGTTTGGTTAGAATATCAACCCCTTCTAATTTTCGTTGATATCGATAGACAAATAAAAAAATGGCAGCCGGAAAGTGACCTCGTGGGCGCCCGGTATTTAGGTTGGTAACACTACATAGAATTAAATCTTCTAAAATCACGAGTGACAATTCGATGGCCATCAGTCAGCCAGTGTCACCAACTTCCGATAAGTAAAAAAGGAGTGTCACAAAGAGCTTCTTTTCGAAACTACTTTTAGTGTCGAAAAGACTTCGATATGAAACCAAAATAGAAAAAAAAAAATATATTGACAATTTACTCAAAAATAAAAAAGTTATAAAGCATTCAAATCATAACGTTCATTTTGCGCCACCCTGTATATGTTAATAAAGACCTTAAACACTAACTATTGAGATGGGTCCCGGTCCCAGCTTTATAATAATTTGTTTAAGTTCCTTAAGTATACTGGAGTAATTATAAATATGTTGGTCTTGCGCCTGATGACTTCGATGACTTTGAGTGTTGTTAGCTATTATTTGATTATCGTTTCCCCTTTTCTGTCAAAAATACATACGCCTAGCGTCAAAAAACTTGTACCCCCTGTGGCCCCTGTATGTACAGGGTGTCCAAATTCGAGGGTGACCATTAAGATATCGGAAACTATAAGGGATACGAGGTCGGTTAAATTATGGCAAAGTTGCGCAATTTTATGACCAATAAAATGCCGTTTTGAAATTAGAAAAATTCCGAATACTTCCGAAGATATTCGGAAAAAAAACGAAATTTTGCAAAATCATTTTTATTTTTTCCTGAGCCTATTTGAAGGGCAATTTTAAAACAAATGTCACTTCATTGTTGTCACTTTTTCCCCTTTACAAGGTTTGCTACCAAATTTCAGATTCAAAGTTTCGTCTTTGGGCGGCCATCATCAACTTTATTTTTCTAAATACGGACCCCTATTTTTCAGCTTCTGATGTCCCAAAACTTATGACGTATCAAATTTACTCGATTTTTTTTTTTTTTTTAATTTTTCGTAATTTCCTATCAAAATTTTCTTCTCTGTCTCTCTCTAACACAATAAGTTCTTATGGAAAGTGCCAATAATATAAATTTTTCGAATAAGTCTGATACGTCATAGGTTTAAGGACATCAGAGGCTCATAAAATCTGAAATAAAAAATGAGGATCCGTATTTAAAAAAATAAAGTTGATGATGGCAACCCAAAGACGAAACGTCGAATCTGAAATTTGGTAGCAACATCTTGTAAAGGGGAAAAAGTGGCAATGATGAAGTGTCATTTATTTTACCTACGAGCGTGCGGTAAAGTGAACTTTACCGCACGTATTTGCAAATGGAAAGTAGCACTTTACCGCACACTATGCGGTAAAGTTAACTTTACAGCATAGTGTGCGGTAAACTTAACTTTACAGCATAGTATGCGGTAAAGTGGACTACAAAGTGTGCGGTAAAGTGCACTTTACCGCATAGTGTGCGGTAAAGTAGAATTTGATATTTATAATCAAAAATCCTTTTTTTTTCCAGAAAATGGATTTTTGATAATTTCTAAATCTAATTTAATTTCATTAATTAATCTGATTCAATAAATAATTTTATCAATGGCCTTTTTTGGAGATGTAGATGCTCATAGGTAAAATTTTGTACCTAACACATGCGGAAAGTGCCTTTACCGCCCTTAACGGCTTGACCGAACTCCGCTTCGCGTCGTTCGGTCAACTGCCGTTGCGTGCGGTAAAGTATCACTTTCCGCATTTGTTAGGTAAATAACTATTAAAATTGCTCTTCAAATAGACTCAGGAAAAAATAAAAATGATTTTGCAATATTTCGGTTTTTTTCGAATATTTTCGGAAGTATTCGGAATTTTTCAAATTTCAAAACGGCATTTTATTGGTCATAAAATTGCGCAACTTTGCCATAATTTAACCTACCTCGTATCTCTTATGGCGGGTATTATAAAACTACTTTGAGAGTTAACTTAAAGTTAACTCCTTCTTTCTCATGTAATTCCAGAAGTTAACTTTAAGTTAACTGTCAAAGTAGTTTTATAATACCCGCCCTTATAGTTTCCGATATCTCAATGGTCACCCTCGAATTTGGGACACCCTGTACATCGTCGAAAATTGATCAATTTTCAACCCTGGGTCCTACAACTTATATGTATATTTGAGGATTTCTATTATATCTCCTGACCATTTAACCCTACTTTCGATTTCATCAGGTGCAAGTTGATTTTATTGAATTTATTCTTTAAGCAGAAGCTGATCATATTTATCAATACAATTTTCAATCATTTATTTTTTTAAAATTAGTTTTCTGGAAACTTAAATCTTTATATTTTCATTTCATGATAATGATATTGCCAGCGACAATTGACTGAATAAGTACAGTTGAAAGATACATAATGACAAAGATTTTAACCTTAACTTAATGTCAACGTCATAACTAATGCCAAGTAAGCACAGAAGTAAGCAAAATATGATTATTGCAACTTGCGTGTGTAATTACTCAGAGCTTTAGATTTCGGTACTGTTTATTTTGGCGGATACCGTATATTGAGGTAGATTGTACTATTATCTTTTTTTTTGAATTGGATGAAACTGATTGAGAGTTAATCTTCATTTATTGATTTTATTTAAAGTGTTTCACCAGCAATTGATTTTATACTTTGAAATTATTCAATACTTGATTTTTGATCTCACTGTTAAAATACATATATAAAAATATATATGTTACCGGCAAAGTCCGTTATGCAGTCATACCTAGGTTTGTCTAGGCAAAGTCCGCATTGCCGGGCCACTTTAGGCAAACTCAGAAATTAGTCGATATTTCCGACATTGCCTACAATGTTGTAAGGCAATCTCAGGTTTACCAAATATGTAGCAGGCAAACTCCGAAATAACCTGCCGCATTACTATTATACTGTCAATATTATACCTATGTACGAGTATGAGGCACAGTTTGCGATAGAAAAAAACACAAATTAATTGGTATTATTAATTTATTGTCTTTTAAAGAACAATCACAAATAAAATAAACTTTCATATTGAAAAAAAAAAAAAAAAACAATTCAAAGCATATTGAGATATAATCACAGTGGACCCTTATAAAATACACTTGGTATTGTTTATTATGACACTTATTAAAGAAATAGGCATTCGCAAAAAAAAAAAACAAAACAGAAAACACATTCAAAAAACCAACTGAAAAGATATTGAGGTAGAATCAGGGAGATCTCTTTGGGCAAAGGTTCTTTGGGTAGAGTACATATTACACAGAGATGAATATAATAGTTATTTGTATACCAAGGCCGCGAAGTGCCTTTTAGCGTACGTAGAGAAAAGTTATCGCCGAGGCCGCTTGCGGCCGAGGCAAGATAATCTCGAGGACGCTAAAAAGTTTCGCGGTCATGGTATAGACACTATTTTTTGTGCAACCATGAAAATTATGTGGAATTATAGAAAAAATTTACTCCTTTCAACAAACATGTGGAACTAATTACCAGTTTGATGTATAACCTGGTGGCTATGGTGGCACAGCGTTTCCATGGATGTCATGGATGACATATTTTGCAAGTAAACAAATACACAAAAAATTTTGACGGTTCTCAAAAAATCGTGAAAATATCCGACAGCGATACAGATGTTTCACTCTCTTGCACTCCTCCAGAGCTAAAAAATATGGTTCAATCAGCTATTTCTGAGTTAATACCTGGAAAACTAAGCGGCAATATGAAAATTGTTACTGCGAGTTCAAAAAATTGGTGTGACAAACAAAACGTCAAAATGGTGTCTGAAAGCATATTGGCTAATTTAATGCCGAAATGGGAAGTTTTGAGAGTTCAATTCAAAAACACTGGATTATTAGTTGCTTCAGCTTCAGGAGTAAATATTAGTAATAATGCAAACTGTCATGTAAGTGTTAATATTTATCCTAAATAATTTATGTTGTTCTGAAGAATTTGGAAATAAAATTTACTTATTGTTGTTGTCAAAGTGTCAAATTTTGATTTATAGTTTCGCGGCCGTCACCAAGGGCAACGGCCGCGAAATTGAATTTCGCGGACTGTGTGGCGGCCGCGAAAGCTCATTTTGCGGATGGTTGCACAAAAAATACATTTAGGGTTAATTATTTCACTTATTAGTACAAGATGTCGAATGGTGACACTTGGAATTGCATAATTATTTTAATCTTTTACATTTACAAGAGTTAGTGGTGCATTTTTTGGTACAGTTACATCTTTGAAACCCTTGCCCTCCAAATGAAGAACTGTGCCCACTAATTTCGCGAAGTGATAGTTCTATTTTCGGGACGTCTTCGATTTTAAAAAATTGTTCCTTGCAACTTTGGATTTGGTTTCTTGCATATAGAGAACTGATTACACCATGTTTAGTACCGATTTTATAAAAACCATCTGTAGTTTTTTCCATCACAACTCCTAGTATATTACGGGCATCTCCTTTGCCTCTGTCTAAACTCGAAACTGGCACTGTAACTGATTCTCCTACCTGAATTTCTGGAAACTTTTTCTGCGATAGCTGCTTCATCTTCTCTGCTTGAACTCTCAATCCTTCGTAGGCAACTTCTTTGTTTAGAGTTGCAGAAATTGTCTGTGCACAGCGGAGGCATAGAATTGATGCTTCAAAACCATCTTCGTCATCGTTGGTACTGGTACCACTGGTACTTTGAGCGCATCTCAAGTGAACAATTCCACCACAGTTTCTGCACTTGTGAGGACCTGAAGTTTTCGTAGAGCAAATAGCACATAAGTTTTGTGTAGAGCTTGACAGTGGTTTTGAATTGTCATTTTCAGAATCGGATTTTTCCTGCTCAAGATTATTCGTTGCTCCACTTCTATTGGAATCAACAGTAGCAAGTGCTTCTTCTAATTCCTCTTCAGTTTTAAGTACCTTTTTCACCGAATCAGGTAAAGTCTGAATGCCAATATGAGCTTTTCTTCCTGAAAATAACGAAATCGATTATATACTAACATAAACAGTAACTTAACCATTACTCACCGAACATTGCTTCAAACGGAGTTTGTCGGATTCCACTGTGATAAGCATTGTTTTTCTGTAACTGACAGAAACGCAGACCCTCACTCCAACGCTTGGTTTTATTATCTTCCATCCAGGCAAACAATATGTTTTCAACATCCTGGTTAGACCGCTCTACACTTCCCTGGCTTTGGGAATGTCGTGGTTTTCCGTGGACTATACTTAGTTGTGGCCACAACAATTTCAGCTCTTCAACAATGCGATTTGCAAATTCACGTCCGTTATCGGACTGCAATACAGAAGGAGCTCCCAAAATGCGAAAAATGTCTATCAAACAATAAGCGACCTCTTCTGCTCTTTTCGTTCGTAGTGGCCGCAAAACTAGATATTTCGAAAGATGATCCTGGTAATTGAGGATATATTTGAAATCACCATCAGGGCAAGTCTGCATATCGATAAGATCGACTTGTCCTCTCGAATTCACTTCTCGGAATAGCAAAGGTTTTACGGTTATTCCTTTTTTTGGATGCTTTTTCTTCTTGTGACAGGCTTCACATAGCCCTAAGTAAAGGGTAATGCATTCCCGAGTTACTTTAGCATATTTGTTGCTTAGTGCTTTAATCATAATATCTCTTCCAGCATGACCACATTCCTTGTGAGCATTATCTAGCACCTCAAACAATTCTTCATTGGGGACAAAGTATTTCACTTCAGTGACTTGCTCAGACAATGGCAAAATTAATTTTTTAATGCCCCCAACAAGTAACACATCGTAACGTTTAAGACGTCGGTATTGAAGAGTTGTTTTTTTGGGAACTTGCTTGGCTTCTTCAACTTCTTTAATTAATGCCTCGTACTTCTCTATCGATGGAATGTAAAAAAAATTTATTGGTTTCTGCATACTCTCTAATTTCTCCAAAAATGTCGCCTTCATTTCACCCGCGCCACTCATATTTACTTGCAAAATATGTCTTCTTGTCACAAATCCAATAAAGATTAAACTCAACTGAACACATCGGCCGCCTAATTACAGCTAAACACAGAAGTCAATGCAGAATGAGAATTCAGTGACGCCGCGCCCCGCCGCAATTATGTGAACACGTAGCGACAAGTTTCGACCGTCTGGAATCGGAATATCAGCTTATTTCGTAGTTTGCCTGCTACACATCTAGCAAACCTAAGATTGTCGTACCACAATGTAGGCAATGTCCGAAATATCGAATAATTTCGTACTTTGCCTAAAGTGGCCCGGCAATGCGGACTTTGCCTAGGCAAACCTACAGTGGCTAAATAAACCTTTACATACAGTGGCGACAATAGAGGTCCCGCCGCCATCTTGTTCCCAACCTCTTGTTACTTTTAAATATTTATATATAGGATTTAAATGGACATCTATCATAAAAAAATTGAAATCGACGTATTTGATGACCAGTATTAGGTCCATCAAATACGCTGTTTTCCATGATTTATGATGAATGTTCACCTAAATCCCATATATTCATATTTGAAAGTAACAAGGGCTTGGGAACAAGATGGCGGTGTTTTCAATATAAATATATGCGATTTTAGAACCAATCAAAAATCAGACAGCAATTGTCGCCACTGTGGGTTATAAAGTCACTGTAGGCAAACCTAGGTATGACTGCATAACGGACTTTTCCGGTAACTAATAATTTAATTTGAAACGTATTTGTTTTATTGGTTTTACCTATGTCAAGATTTAGTTGAGTTATATGCCTTATTTATCTCCTTTTTTCAGAATTATCAATTATAGTCCAGGAGGCAGTGAAATTTTTTAGCACTTATTTTCCTAGTTGGTGTAAGGTACATGTCCCAAATAAGGCCAAATTAAGAAGTTTTATTTTTTCCTAACATTATTCACCAAACCCAACAAAAATCACGAGCTTATATGTGAAGTATTTTGCTTCTATTACTTGAATAATAACTCCAATTTATTTATTTTTTTATATAAGTGGTGGTTTTTGCGTAAAACAAAGACGCTTACCATTAGCCTTATTTGGATCACTATGCTCCTAATAAGGCCACTATTAAAAAATATTAAAAATAAATACAATTATTTATAAAAATATTATTAAGGTACCTGTCTCAAATAAGGTCATGTTAAGAAGCTTTATTTTTTCCGAAGACTATCCACCAAACCCGACAAAAATCACGAGCTTATATGTGAAGTGTTTCGCTTCTATTACTTGAATATGAACCCCAATTTATTAATTTAAACACATAAATGGTGGTTTTTGCGTAAAACGAAGACCCTTACCATTGGCCTTATTTGGATCACTATGCTCCTAATAAGGCCACCAATAAAAAATGTTTAAAATAAATAGAATAATTTATAAAAATATTATTTTTTGACAAAAAGTACTCAAAATAGAAGTTCAACGTTTGCTGCATTTTAAAAAAACAATAATTTTAAGTCCTGGGATGGTGATCCAAATAGTTCTACATACAACTAGGACAAATGAACCGCAGCTTTTCTTGCTTGGTTAGACTCCAGGCGCTCTAAAACACATCACTTAAGTAATAATATGACACATTCTTTTAAAAAAACAGTGTGATGTGAAGCCAATTGAAAATTTTTCATGTGGCCTTATTAGGAACATGTTACATTGATGAAAAAAAAGTCTGTAACTAGAAATCTAGCAAATATATTATTCTGTACTTACTCTGTAGCTTTCTCAATACATAAATGTCTGTGTAAAAATTACATTCGTTCCATTCCCTTTATGAACATGTGTATAAACTAATTAAGTTCCAGCCTCAAAGTTATAACGTGACATATGAAATCTGTGGTTAGCCATTTTTCGACATGTAACGAGTTGCTAGGAATCCTCACAATAATTTTTGATTTGCATTATAGATATCTTTTTCAAAAATATTGTAATTTTTGAAAATAGGATTCAATATTAAGCAATAAGGGGCACTGGCCTTATTGGGTACATGGCCTTATTTGCGTCTGGTTAAAATTTTCAGATGGGTTCACAAGACCAATGAGAAATACAAGTACAATTCTATCCAGGTTTTCTGACTGAGAAAATAAGTACCGAAAATCGTCACTGCCTCTTAAGGGCCCCATACACTACGGTGAAACGCGACGGTTTTCACCGCCGCGAGGAAACACGTCGTGCCAAAACCGAAGCGTATGGTAGAAAACCGTCGTGTTTTTCTACCACACACTTCGGTTTTGGCACGACGTGTTTCCTCGCGGCGGTGAAAACCGTCGTGTTTCACCGTAGTGTATGGGGCCCTTTAGACAATTACCGTTTACTAATTATTTTTTTTAGGTTTGTTTCTGAATTTTCACCCTTCAATATTTTATTTAATTTATTTTCTTTTTTTTTTTGAATTCAGTGGCGTCCTTGCCATTCTGTACTTATTAAACAATTGAACCACCCCTAATAATTATTTGCTGAGCAAACTTAGTATATTATGTACCTCTTGTTAATTCGTTAACAAAAAGGGTTACAAATCACAGAAATTGGCTTTTACCTCAATGGAGAAATGTCCTTTTTTTCTGACGAGTCCGGATTTGGACTGGCAAGTGACAGCCGCCGTGTAGCGCTATGGAGAGAACCAGGACGTGTAGCACTTTTGGCTTTTCCTCAAGAAGTGGTTTCGTGTCAAGGAGGGACAGTAATTTTTTGGGGGAACAGTATGCATGGTTACCGCACTCCTCTCATTCACATACCAGAGGTGCTGACGGGAAACATCTACCTCGAAAATGTTATCAGGCCAATTGTTCTACCCTGGAGAATTAAATTTGGGCCAAAATTTATTTTTATGGATGACAACGCTCGCCCACATCGCACTAGAAGGATCCAAAACGTGATAGCTGAATCCAATATCGAGAGAATGAACTGCCGGCAAACTCGCCGGACATGAACCAGATTGAGCACATGTGGGATATGCTTTCCGAAGCCTAAGAAAAACAAACCGACCGATAACCCGTAGAGAGCTGATTGTAGCGGGACAGGAGGAGTGGGTCAATATTCGCCAAGAACAGATAGACAATCTAATTCTCTCAATTCCAAGGCGGGTCAATGCATGTCGCGAGAACAGAGGAGATCACACTGATTATTGATGTTGTTTGCATCTTCGTCTAATAAGAATAATTTTGAACTACATAGTAGAATTTTATGCAAATATCAACTAATAAATGACTAACATTTTCATGTGAAAGCCGTTCACATAAATGTCAACGTCGAAATTCAAAATGCGTTTAAAGCTTAAGTGGACCATATTTACCACAGTTGTCTTTCATCTAAGTTAATTTTTTCAATTCCAACACTATCTGTTGGATAAATATAGAAAGTTTTATCAAAGTCTCAGGAATGCGTTTAAGCTCAGTACTTCTGGACTTTATCACTTAAGCCAAAGTGGAATCGATGTTGCTGAAAAAATCATTAAAGTTCATTAAAGTGGCCAGCAATATCCACTTTTGTTTCCAGCTTTTCACCTTCATGCAGCAAGTATCTATTCAATTCCATTATTGTTTGTCTTACTTTTATTTTTTATTTTACTTTCAATGCAAACCCATAGAATGCTTAATGCTGGCAATTTTATGTTTTACAATAATTTTTCCTTCATGATTATATTTTGTGTTTTTTTATTGATCACTTGTCGGATTCTGTCTCCACAATCTATGTAAGAATTCCAAAACTTTACATGACTTAATAATTCCCATGCGGTTATCCAGTTTTTCGTTATTTTTATTCTGTGTCGCTCGACTACACTCTGCTAAGTTTCAATAAATCGAATTGTGTATGAGATACAAATTGTTTCGTTTCTTACTAATTTAAACACATACAAGCAGCCTCCTTTCCTTGATACAACAATAATAATTATTGAACACCCTTGTGTTACTTGCCCTTTTATCTCTTCTTTTACACATTATTTCGTGCAAATCATTCGAGAAAGGCTTCCCGTCCCTCATTTACTTTTTTTAACCCTAGAGTTTGTCAGTTTGTTTTAAGAGATCATTAGAATTTTTAACTTGATAATCAATGGGTACCATATTTTTCCTGAGTAAGGATTGTCATTTATTACTTACTATAATGACCCGCTGCGTTGCCAGCGTGAAAATACATTTTGAAATAATACACTTTTTTTCAAATTTTGTTGTTGATTTTCTATTTAAATTTCATTTATTTTTTATCCGATACCAGAGTCGCTTGCCAGTGAGTTCAGTGACGCATTTTAAGCACTCCAGAGCTGCTCTAGAGCGCCCCGGGCTGTTTATAGTCGTTCCAGTGTATCAGAGTTTCGCGCAACCGAACTTTTTTTTTCGGGATAAAAAATAGCTTATAGCACTCCCCTCTTTAGCCGAATTCGATTGACCGGATTAGATCGATCTGGTTCAATCGAATTCAGCTTATATAGAGATACGTGGTATTAAATTCAAGATCGGTCCAGCCGTTCTCGAATTCAAAAAATAATAAAGCTACGTCGTCGGATGAATGGCAAGCCTTTCAGGCTGTAATAGCTTAGGTTATCGGGACATTGTTGGGAAAATGATACGCTCAAGTCAACGGTTTAAAGTAGAATTTATTCAATATAATTTAACAATAATAACGTTAAGTCTATTATTGAAACTGCAACATAGACATAATTACCCTAGTTACAATGAACCTTAAATCTAATGCAATATTTGCCAAGAAAGCTGTGCTGTGTGCTGGGCATTTTGCAATAATATAAGTTATTGCTTCCAACTAACAAAATGATGACTCTTTAATATTAGGGTCAAGAACCTATAAAGTTGGATATTTTCCCATTACACCTCCCTTGGGCAAAAAAGAAAAAAAATATAATATACTTAATTTTAAGAAAAGTGCACTATTCAATTAATTAACTAAATAACTAAAATTAACTACCTATAATTATATATTTTTTTCGTTTAAACTACACTTAAACTAAGAATAATAAAGTTTAACTCTA